CCCATCTCGGCACTGTGGCTCCAGAGTCTGGGCTCTTAGCTACTACCCATACTGAATACTATTTTAAAATAACTGAAGCAAGACAAACCCTGTCTGGGGATATGCTCAAAACCAGACAGGAAAATTCTATTGACATCTCATGTACTAAAACATGACTCCACAGAATTCCAAGACGGCCTCTCCTGCCTGCCCCGCTACCTACCCCTTCCCTCTCCTTCCCAGGGTCCCTGCCAGCTCTACAGTTGGGAGCATGGCTGACTGTCACTCCTCCTGGCATCTAGTGGCAGGGCTCACAACCTACACCCCCCCCCCCCCCCCCCGCCACCACCGCTCCCTGCACCACCTGCTCTGCAGGCTGGGGCCCAGGAGAAGCAAGGGAGGCATGGGGGGGGCTACATTCAAGGTGGTGCAAGTTCAGGTGGGCTCTGGAGAGCGAATGCCCCTTACCTTTTGCTCCCAGGCCCCTCACTTGCCCTACTGTATTCTTGACCTGCCTGAAAACACGAGCAGCGTGTCACTGTCTGCTTCAGTCCTCCCCGCCGCCGGGGCCTGCAGAAGGAAGCAGGGGCTGTGAGTCATTTTCCTTGGTTAGGGAAGGAGGAAGCAGCCAACTGGGGAAGAAACAGAAGTGCTGGAGCTGAGTCTTAGGTTGGACAGGGCGATCCAGACCTGCTGTGGGGCCCAGGCTGCTCTGTGGTGACCGGGACTGCCGACAGGTCCCAGATGGAAAGGGGGGCTGGCCAGCGCTGCCCTGGGAGCTATGGCCGGCTGCCGGCACAAGGACTTCCTCTTGTCCTTGAGGCCGGCTCCACTGGCTTAGGCAGTCCGAGCAGCTCTGGTCTGTGTAGCTCAAGCAATCCAGCGAGATCGCCGGCCTCAACTAATTCCCCCCAGCCTCCACTAGACTCCACCTAGTTCCCCCTCCCTCCAGACTCCACCGGCCCCCCCCTGGCCTCAGCTATCGCATCCTTGGCTTCATCTAGCCCAGCTGGCTACAGCCAGGCCCCTGTTGGCAAGGCTTTCCCATCCCCCACCTGCCCCTCGTTCCTGGGCCGTGTTCAAATCATTCTCACGCCCACAGCTGGGGAGCTTTTCACCCACCACCTTCCAGGACATTCCTACAGTCCCAGAAGGCCCAACTCAGCACCTTCCCTCATCCCGGCCTGGGCCTTTTTCCTCGAGCTTTCTCAGGGTGATCTCCCCAGGGCCCTCCCCCACTGTCTGGCCTCCCGGAGAGAGGGGGAGACTCCTGCTAATGTTCAGGGAAGCCTACACCGGACCAGGCCCTGAGTCTCTGCGAGCTGAGCTCACGAATCTGCTCAACCATCCCACCACGCAGAAGGCGTCCTTCTCCCCATTTTAGAGACAAGGAGACCGAGGTTCAGAAAAGCTAAGTGCCCAGTATGAGATTATACTTTTAGGAAATGAGAGACATTTAAACTCCATTCCATCTGACCCCATAGCCCAGGATAGGCCACCCCTCCCCCTTGACGTCTGCCTTCATAAGCGTGCTGGCCCCCAAGGCCCGGCACATGCCATCAACACCTATGTGGCTGAGGGAAGGACTGAGCTGGGCACACCCAGGGCCTGGTCTGCAGTGACCTGGGAGAGGCGGTCAGCGCAGACCAGCCACCTAATCAGAGAAGAACAGGAAACAACCTGCCAGTGCTGTTCTGGAACAGCGTGGATTTCCCAAAATGGGACCTTTTTGGGTGGGAGATGTCCTTCTTGGGCGGCGGGTGGGGGCGTCTGTGGGGGTGAGACCAGGCATTTGCATTATAAAGGTCTCTTTCCACTGGAGTGCCGGCTGGGAGCTGCTCTTTGCTGCCTTGCAGAAAGCTTCGAGGCCTTCAGATGGCTGGATCTCCATGGAAATTAGTTTGCAGGGAGAAAGGAGCTATTTTGAGGACAAGCGAAGATGAGAACCTGTAGGCTGGGGTTAGGGAAGGTAGCCGTGGGAGAGAGCTTTTCTGAATGACTCACTAAGTTCCCTCCTATCAAGGTGGGGAAACAAATGGCACGGCAAGAAAACCGGAAACCCAGGAAAAAGGAGGAGCGGCAGGGCTGACCT